TTTCCACTCCTGGAGTCAGTCCTTTGTTGCTTTTGTCTTTTAGGCTGTAATCCTTAAACAAACGGTATCATGCCTCCCCATCTGTACCGTTCTATCTGATACTGTTTGGTTCCAGGTCAGAACAGATTTTGTGTTTAGAACTGTTTATGATTTTATCCAATGTGACAAAAACAGAAATCCCACAGGATGATGCAGCCAGCACCATGTTGTACTGTGGACATGGCGTTTCTTTATGTGCAGAGCTGTTTGGTGTCAAACGTGCATCTTGGAATTATGCCTGAAATGTTTCGGCCTTGTTTCATTAGACCATAAAACTTTGAACCACAAGGTTCCAAAAATGTTCTTTAGGGCAGAAAAGAGATCTGTTTTCCATGTGTACTGTATGATAAACATTGTAATATTCCTTAAAGGACTGGAGTTTTGTTTATTATTTTGCTTGTACCGTAATTATTATTATTTCCAGAAGTCATGACGTGTTTGGTCGTACCATAAGACATGCAGGGTGTGAGCGCCGGATGGGACAGAGACAGCTGACGGTGCAACAGAGAGAGAGAGAGAAAAACAAAGAGAGAGAGAGAGAGAGAGAGAGATGAGATCATGTTGATCCTCTTTAGTGTCTCTGCAAATTGCAGCTTTAGCTGAAAGATGCAAGAAAGCCAGTCATAAATCCTAGCAGACAACACAAAACATACAATCGGGTTGTGGCTTTCACTTTTTCGGAAATTATTTGGGGAAATTTTCATTTCTAAGTCTCAAATGTGAAAGGGGTGTGTATACTTTTCAGACACAAGAGTTTCTCAGCAGGAAGAGTCAGTCCACAGACAGAACCACAGCATGAGCTGATTGTCCTGAGGCATAGAAGACGCACTGAGTGGGGCCGGGTCTGCAGGAAGACCTCTACCCTCCGGCTCATCAGCTGCACTCAGGCTCCATTGTTTACTGAAAGAGTCAAGATGGGCATATAGAGCCGCAGAATGCCTGATCCGGCCCCCGGCGGCAGGTTAAACACCTCCAGACACCTCAGGCTCATTACACAGTCAGCTTGAAATGTGTTTGTTCCACTGGTGCAAATGACTGTCATAATGAAGCTGTCGGGTAAATTGTTTTCTTGTTGCAGCTCGGCGTCAGGATGCATCTGGAGCTGGTCATGTTTTAGACCTTCAACATGTCCTGTCTTACTTTTCTCCTGACTGGAAATAGAACTGTCCCTCCTGAGCTGTGACTTTTTTACACCATGCATCTTCTCCTCACACATCTCCACATTGTGGGCTAAAGATCCAGCAGCACTGTTGCTAACTTTGTGCGGACCGAGTTGGAGTGAAGCTCTCTGCAATCCTTCTTAAAGTTCTTTCAGTGCTTTTCCAGCCACACTGGGCCTGGTTCTGGTTCTGCTGGCGGTTTTTCTGTATTGCTGCAAAGACCGGTCTCTCTTGCATAGATAACTCCTGCTCTACTTGTTCTCATCCTATTTCGCTTACATTTGACACCGTCAACCAGGGTATCCCTTCGTCCGCACTCACTGTTCTATTCGTACTTCTCTCCTTAGTGAATATATCCTGACTTGGTCACACTTCTCTTTGCCACAGGATTTCCCAAAGGCTCTGCACATGAATCTCAAACTGTCTCTGACATGCTGTCATTGATCAAAACACATCATCTCCGACCAAGATTTCCCCCTGCGACTTGTAATGTATGTGATCTCCTAATAAACTGCAAACAACCTAGAAGTGTTGGAGTGGAGGACACAAGAGCCACTCACACATAGAGAGCGTGCTCAGTGGTTGTGGAAGTGAGCACGGATGCCAATGGCGGAGCATGTCTGCACAATAGAGACATTTATGTGTAAATGTGGCCTGGCTGTTCAGACTCAGGTCACATCTGAAAAGATCAGAAATGTTTCGGCTTTAGGGACACATATCCAAGTGTCCTGGGTCGCATTTGAAAAGTCCGATCTGTGTTGTTCAGACAGTCGTGAACAGATCAGATACATCAGGCGTACATGAGGTCAAAGGAATCAGATGTGGGTCACTTCAGGCTGCGGTGTGAACGCAGCCCAACTCTACAAACCTTTTTGAACATTTTCATAGAGGATTGCTGGGTCACCCTGGTCATCAAAGGTTTTGGCTAACATTGTCTACACCTCACTCGAGGCATAGCAGGCTCTACATTTACTGTTCCATGATGGTGCGATGACCTACGCCGCAGAAAATGAACTATCTGTCTTCATCTGTCTCCCTTCTGCTGCAGCATCAGATCAACAGTTCCCTCTATTCCTACGTTACTGCTGACAGAGCCATCCTGGTCGTTTTTCTTTTAAGAAGCTAATTGTTAGCTTCAATACTAACTTTGCTGTTTTTTTGTTTTTTTCTGTCATTTGGGATTAAAGTCTCTCCATAAACATAAACATCCCAGATCAGATGAGTTGGATGTTATAATATGGAGTTACTGCATGGAACTGGATTAGAATATGATTATGCTTTCAGTTTATTGGAATGAATCGGATTGTGTTTGCAGCAGAAATGGACTTAATGGGTTTCTATGTAACAATATCTATACACACGGATTTGTCTTTTTGACCACACTTTAAAGTGATTGCTCTGTAAATTGAATTATATGAACAGAGTTTGGTTTTAATTTAATATGATTAAGAATATGTAAAACGTGTTTGTAGTTTGGAAAAGGAGAAATGATTGTGACTTTAGACTAAAGTCCTTGTAGGTTGCGTTGTTCAAAACACTGATAGAAAGAGCATCAAGTCCACCTCCGAGTGGGACGAAACACAGCAGAATGAAGACTGTAGAATAGCCTAGTCAAAGTCTACAACATTGACCAGGCTTTTCTACAACCTGAAATTAAACCACTTTGAATTGTGATGCGGTGGAATGTTCTTAAGCTGAAATTCTGAAAAAAAGGAAGAGTGAGTGGAAATTCCCTCAAAGTGAAATAAAAACTAATTAACTGATTTTAAATGTTTGAAGTTGTTGCTGCTCGGAGCAAAACAACCATATGTTAGGGAGCGATTACTTTTTCCCACAGGACCAGGTTGGTTTGGATATCTTTTTTTCCCCTTAATGAATTAAATAATCTGAAAACGCTTTTTAATTTTATTGGATTATCCTTTATATTACATACAGCTGCCTGATGAGTGGAAATAGTGAAGGACGACAAAAGAAAAAGAGAAACAGAATAAATATGTAACAGGTAGATCACTTTTGCACGACTGTGCTAAAAAAAAGCTCTTTTTGTTTACTTCAGTAAATAAGATTTCTTTATCCAGGTTTGACTTCCAGCTTTACTTATTTATGTGTTAATATTAAATGATTAATGTCAGCAGATTGGTGGGTTTGAATCCCAGCCTGGAGTCTTTCTGTTCTGTGTGGCGTTTGCATGTTCTCCCTCTGCATGCATGGGCGACTTTTAGGTTGACTGAATACCGCAAGTCACCCTTAGGTGTGAGTGTGTGTGCACGGTCGTTTGTCCTGCATCGTGTGTGTGTGTGTGCTGCCCCGTGATGGAGATCACAACAACAAACCAGTTTTGAATGCACAAATTTTAATTCACTTCAACATTTATGGACAAAGATTTCCTTACTGGAGTCTAACCCTGATTCCTGTCACATAGAAGAACACAACAACATCATCATCATCATCACACAGAGCACTGACTGGACAGGCAGCTCGCTGGGCAGCAGCCAATCACCATCGTCGAACCGGACGGTATCCACGCTAGTATTTCAAACATACAGAACGCTTACACGACTGCACCAGACATCAAATAAGAAGAGCGTGTGTGTGTGTGTGTGTGTGTGTGTGTGTGTGTGTGTGTGTGTGTGTGTGTGTGACTTTTTTTTTAAATAGCCTTGTTGAAAGTTTTCACTGAGTCCTCCGAACTGGCTCAAAATTTTTAAAAACACTCAGAAAAAAACAACAACAATTTATCCCATTTTTGGGTATTTACAAACATTAAAAGCTAACAACAGAGTTAAACCTGCCACTTTTCTTTAAGAGCTCAAAAAAGTAGATTGTCATCAACTGCAGCAAAAAAGAAGCACTCTGGATACTTTCCTTCCAAGAAGTCTTTCCTATGTTTTTGGAGAGGGGAAAGGGAGCACAGCTAATAAAAAAAAAAATGGCATAACACAACATGACAGGACATTTTCATTTTACCCAGTAACATCAGTAACTGCCTCTCTTTATTTTTGTCCAGCCTCGCCGACGTTTCTTTTTTTTTTTTTTTTTCTCGTCCCCCATTTTTGACGGCGGAACCGAAACTTTTACTGTCTTTTGTCCACACAGCCGCCCAGTTCTGGAAACCGCCGCTTCAAACCATGGAAATAAAACCTAGAAATAGCACGCAGTGACAGCAATTCTAACCATAATAACAACAATAATAAAAATAATGATAATAATAATCATGGATAAAGATAGCAATAAATAGGCTTGGTGACGTTTAAGTGCGGGTAGGTGTGGTGAAACACAGGGGCTGTGGGCAGGGAGGGGAGGAGGGATGACTACCGCACATAAAGTGACTGATTGTTTGGTTGCTGAACATCTAGGCTCTGTCTTTAAACCTTCTGGGTACGTTTTTCTTTTTTTTTTTCCCCTTCCACCACACGTTGACGGGTGGAGCCAGGAAGGTGGGTCAGGCCCGACTGTCCCTCGGGGAGAGCAGAAGGTCGCCCCTAACAGCAGTGAGTCCGTGTGAACTGTAAGTGCTAGACAGGACTACCGGGGGCTCTGGAGTCTCCTTTGACCTCCTCCCTCGGCAAATTAAAGCTTGTCTGTGTGCATTCTCAGGCAGGCGAAAGCAACGTCACCGTCTCCTGAGGACGGATGAAAGCCTCAGGTTCCCGTCGCCTCTGAGGGGAGAGAACCTGACAGTCAGGTGAGGACTTTCCCGGTGAGGTGTGCTCAGACTTCAGTGATCAGAAGGAGGAACTTCCCTTTGTGGCAGAGAAGTTGCGTGACTGTTTCTGCTTGAGCAGCGAAGGTCTTAAAAATCAGACGGGACGGGGGTGGGGGGGAGGGGAACGATAAAACGGTTCTGTGGTCATTTGGTCACAGTTACACAAACCGCACCTAAAAAAACCTGCAGTCTGTTTCTGAGGTAAATTCACAAATTCCACAGATGGGAGATTGTCACGATGAACTGTTTGAGTCATGTACGAGTGGGATCTCAGATCAGTGTGTCGTCACGGACATCCACGCCTCACGCCGTCGCTTTGCTGCTGCCATGACAGCTTCCCAGAGTCTTCTTCTCCAGTTTTGTCCTGATCTGGCGATGTCGCTCGGTTTCTACCTCTGGTAGTCAGTCTGCTGTTGAGGACTGGATGAGGAGGAGCCGCCCGGAACCAGAGGACCACCAAGCCGGCCGGGCCCCTTGTCCTTGCCTTCCTCCAGAGCGACACTGTTACCGGAGGACAACTGACTGGGGGTGGAGCTAGAGGAGGTCGGGGGCTGGCTCAGCCCCCCCGTGCTGCCGCTGCTCCCCTCTGCCGTCTGGTAGATCTCCTCGGCCCCGTCCTCGCTGGACTCCGGGTCCTCGGAGCCGGACAGCAGCTCCTCGTCCCTGTACTCACTGACGTCGACGCCACCGCTGGCCGCCGCCCCCTCGCCCAGCTCCTTGAGGCGGCCGTGGTGCTTGACGTGGTAGCGCTGGTTCTGGAAAAACTTGATGATGGTGTGCTTGGGCAGGTCGAGCTGCGCGGACAGGGTGTGGATGGCCTCCTGGTCCGGGTACAGGCCCACATCCTGGATGAAGCTCTGCAGTATGGCCAGGGCCTCTAAGGAAATCTGGAAGGAAACGGCAGATTCAAACAGGAAGAACCAATCAGTTTTCACATTTTATGAGACAGACCGATACAAAGGAGTGCAGAATTCACTGTATGAAAAGTTGTCAGGGCATAAAATTGCTGTGAACCTTGAGATTTCGGGCTGTCAGCAGGAGTTTTGTGTCAGAACTCCTGCTGTTGGGAACTGCCGAAGTGCAAATCAAGTCTTCACCACTGGCCTTGCCGACTACCTCATGCTTGTATTTTAGCATTTTGTTGAAATGACTACAAAGTGTTGTAACCAAAGTTATATTAAATTGTATTAAAGTGAATGGAAAAATAAAAAGGTTTTGAACATTTTATACAGAAAGTAAAGAGCAGACCTTTTGAAGTATGTCTGCTTCAACTATCATCTGTGAGTTCTGCCCAGTTTTCTTTGCTAAATACCTCAGTCTCAGTCAGACTGGACAGAGTATCCATCAGCATCAATTTTCAAATCTTGCCATCGATTCTCTACTGGATTTAAACACAGACTTTAAACAGGCCGTTCAAACAGAAGATCACTCCTTTGATCTAAGCTGCATTATAGCACTATCTGTGCGTTTAAAAAAGTCACAAGTTTTTCATAGTTTGGCTTGTCCTGCGACTTATGTATGTCTCTGTCCTCTTCATGACGTAGTTTTTGACTGATGCGTTAAAGGTTAATTCATACTGACGGACATGAACCGTCAAGTCCTTCCTTAGACTTGATCAAAGGAAGTCTAAGGAAGGAAGTTAATCGAGGGCTGAAAGCAAAATGGAGGACTAAGTCCACAACTGGGTACTTAGAGGGCTAGTGAACAGTGAGGCCATGTCCTGTAGTTGCTAAGGAGATGAATGTAGATGTCTCTCTATCACACCGGATTTACACTGAATGCGTCTCCGCTCCACCCTGCTGCGCACTTCACTAGCAAAGTGCCACTGTTCCTGACCCTCCTATTTTAGCGGAGGGTCATCGGCGCGTCACAAACTGCTACCAGACGTCCATGCCGAAGTCAAAAGTTCCTGTGAGCTTGTTGAAAAGCATCTGAACACAATGTAACCATTTGTTTCCTCTTCATGATGTAGCCTTTGGCTAATGTGACTTATACTCTGGGAAATACGCTAACACTCTCCTTCCTTGAGAAGGAGCCATTTTGTTTTGGTTTGTCGCACCAGATATTCATGGTGTGACCCCTACCACAAGATGTCAGCTGAGTCAAAGGGTCTTTTAGTGACTGTACCTTAGTGCGTGATCGTGGCTTCTTGTTGCAGCCGGCGCTGCTGGCCGCAGCAGGAGGACATCCGCCTGCTGCTCCAACTCCCACGTTCTGCGACCTCTCCTCATTCGCTTGGGCGGGCAGCGGCTCTTCGCGCATTGGAGACAAGTGGTGCTCCTTTACCGGAAGCGGGGGTGGCCTGTGAAGTGCCTGGCGAGAAAGAAAGTAGAGCTGATTAACGGGGCACAGTGACCCCTGATCAAAAACCCAACCAGAAATCCATTTAGTAAAAGGAAAATCACATGGGTTTAAATCCAAGATCAAATGACATGTTTTGAGAAAATGTGGAACACGCTGTGATGCAATCCATCTTATAAAACATCCATTAACTGCCCCTCCTCTGGTACACGGTAGTCAGGGCTGCAGGGTGAACAAAAGGTGAGAACAAGTGTTTCACAGCTCCGAAGCGTCAAGCACCATTAACCGGCTCCAGGGCTGCATTTAAACGCCTCTCTGCCCAGTAAACCTTTGACCTAATGTGTGTAAGATTAGCTGTAGTGAAACACCAACCAGCGGTCCGCCAGGAAGCGTCTTGCAGCCCCATCACTATTTAACCCGCTCATTCAGAAACTCTGAGGACGGACGAGGGGAAAGGGTGTTCAAGGACAATCATACAAAATAATGATGTGTACATCAGCATTAGCTGTATCTGCAGCTGTCTGAGCTGCAGATACATGTGAGATAGTAAGAATGAAAGACCTTTCAAAACAAAATGTAAGTTTTTTATTAACGTTGTCGTATTTTCCCAGCAGTTAGAAGTGAGATGTGGTCATAACGGATAAAAATGAGAAACATGTTAATGTTTGGAAAGCAGAATACCAGAACCAAACCCAGAAATGTAGAAAACCTGAAACTTCTAGGCAGAAAGGTCAGAGTTTAACCTCTGAGCAAGATTGAGACAGGATGGTATGAGGAAGATAATATGTGGAAAAAAATTGAGCTTCTTTGCCTTCTAACTAGAAACGACCATTCAGTCAGGATGTGCGTCTCGGGGCTGTCAATCATCCTCTGTGTGGTGCTGCTCATTCCCAGCTAATGTAGTTAGCATGTCCACTGATGCCGGTGGATAAATGGTTTTCCTGTAGCGGTGAGTTGTTTCTCCACCATTAGCACATTTAGCAGCGCGTACACAAAGTTGACTGACAGCACTAAGCCCCTCCTCCTGGCTCTGATTGGTTGCTTTTGACCGGGAGTCAACAGCCACTCAGAGAGGCGGTTGAGATCTTGTCAGATTATCTGCTTCGTATTACAACAAGGTGACAGTTTTTACAAACTTGTAAAGAACATTTTTTTTTTTAAATAAAAGCTTTAAAGATCAGAAGGATTCTTGTTCAGCCTTAGAAAATGATTTCAAAAGCAGGTTTCTCACTTCTCATACTCCACACCAAAGGTGTTTTTATCAACTCAGATTATTCAGTAATCTGGGTTAGGACTGAAGCAGCTCAATGTTTAGCAGCGTTTAACCCGTAGCCTCCGAGGGGCGAGGCTGGGGGAGCGGTAGAGGAGTATTAGAGGGGGGGTTCGGAGGGGTAGGTGTGCTGGCTGTCAGGAGCAGCTGAGGCTGTTTGACAGCTGTGAGGAGGCCAGGATGAAGTGTTGGGAGGGATGTTGGGGATTCTGGTTGTTTGTCAGAAGGTAGTGGCTGTTGTGAGAGCCTTGTGGTCCCGGCCCGCCCCGCTGTCTTAAAGAACAGGGAGGGGCGTCCCCACTGGAATGCCCAGCTATAAATCTGTGGCACATTAAAATTAAAGGACCCACATAAAGATAATAGTCCTTCGCGTTTCTCCCTCTCTCTTCAATAATAACAGGGTATTACTTAAATAATACTGTGGGCCGGCCAGACCATGAAACTGCTCCACTTTATTCGCGGGGGCTTTATATTCCGGGGGAAGGGAATGACCAGTTTACAGGAATTCACTCCTTTCTTTTCCCTCCTTTCTTTCCTCCTTCCATAATGCAGATTTTGTTTTGTTTTGCTCCCTCAAACATCTAAAAACAGGCTTGAAGAATGCAGGCGAGGCCAAGAGCAGAACAGAGACAGTTAAAGGCATGAGGCATGAAAAAGAAGATGTGTTTCTTCGCCTTAATGAGGACCACACATCCACATGCCCCCCACCGCTGCAGCTAACCCAGACACTTAATAGCTTAATTGAGGGTAAATCATGGAGAGGATGGTGAAATGCACCGCGACCCGCCAGCCCTCGTCCCTACGCCTTCATCACTTCTCTGCTTATTCGTGCTGACATGTGGGGACTCGCTGGATCAATGGCCACACACACTCACACACACACACCCACGCAGGCATGCATCGGCGGTGAGGTCTGGTCTCCCTCATGAGCTAATGATGATGTTAGAGAGCAGAGCGCAGCGAGCCCCGCTCTAAAGACACCCCCGTCTCCTCCTTCACTCCGACTCTCCCCTGACTCCTGGTTCAGGACGGGAGTGAGACGGGGCGCTGCTGCCATGCCAACCGGGATCCACCACGTTACTCGAGGTGTTGATGAAACCGAGAATCCTCCACGACCTCCAGGAACCCTAGCACTGCTCCTGAAACTCATCTTATCCTGCAGGGCTTTTTGCATCTTCATTTGTGTCCCCCACTGAACTTTTATGTAAGAAATTCCTGTAAAAAGTACAGAAGCAGCTCGCACTGGAGAATAAATCTGATAAAATATTCAATATCATCACGTTCCTAAAATATTGGGCAAAGTCTCTCTTTTTTGCCAAATGTTATTTTGGGGGTGAAAAAACCAAAACAGAAACACCACCTCTGTAGGCAAAAAATAAAAAATAATAAAAAATCACTTTTGGCAAAAAATTACATATTTTTATGAAGGTGATTATATGTAGAATACCATAACTTTAACTTTTAGTATTATTGCTGTAAATGAGATTCCATCATCGTCTAGACCATGGAAAAATGTACTTTTATTAAATCCTAGATAATCCGTCTGGTAGAGTTTTCAGTAATTTCACTGAAATCCAAACCAGAACCGCACAGCATTCTGGGAGATGTAGGCAGAGGAAAGGTTTTAGCTGCTCACCCGCTCACAGCGAGCTCAACAAGGTTGGTGGCAGGCAGAAACTCACTCTTTGGTTACCTAGCAACAACCTATTGAGTAACTTGCGCAGCAGCAGCTTCAGGTTTCGCCACCGTGACTCATAACTGCTGAAAACATAAGAAACAATGGCGTGGAGAGAAAAATGTGGATGAAACGGGAGAGGTCACGCCACCAGTTGTCAGTATTTCAGATATTTAAAGCAAAAAAAACAAAAACGAATCAATAATTATTCATATCGACTGGTATGAAATTTCTATATCATACGTTTTTCAGCTTTTCAAGTGCGTGTGTGCGTGTGTGTGTGCAAGTTTTCCTCAGAAACATTTCATCTATAGCACAAAATTCCACTAAAATATGTCAAACTTAGATTTTATAACATTATGAAAGACGATAAGGTTCAATATGTACGGCTACCTGTAAAAGCCGTGTGTGTGTGTGTGTGTGTGTGTGTGTGTGTGTGTGTGTGTGTGTGTGTGTGTGTGTGTGTTGTGTTATAGAGAAAATCTGCACAGTTTATGGGGTAAAAGTTTAAACGTGGGGACACGAAAACCAGGTGAAAACTATTAAACATGTCTGCTCTCTGGTAGATTTAATTAGAAACTGAAAAAAGCGAGAGCCTCGTGTCACTGAGGTCGACACACTGCGCTGACACAGCTAGCTAAACGCGTAGCCGAGCAACGGGACGGCCGGGGGGACAGGACCTCTGAATCTGGTTGCTTTGTTAAACATTTTCTGATCCTTTTTTTCCTGCCCCCCCCCCCCAAAAAAAAATGAGAAAAACATGTTTCAGACTTTAAAAAAGGCATTTGTTAGTCGGAAAACTGACTCACAGGATGACTGTTTACTGATCTGTCATCCACACGGGCAAACTCTGTTTAAGTTTAGGAATAAAAACTATTGTGTTAAGGTTATGTAAAGATCATGGTTTTGGTTTCCAAACCTCTGCAGCAAAGGCCAAAGAAAGATCAGAGCTACAAGAAGATCCACTGTAATCACTTCAGGAAAAAAAAAGCCTCATGCTCAAAGCTCAGAGGAATGTAAAATGTTCATTTGGTTAAAAAAAAGAATCGTACACGCCCGTGGCACAAGCCGTTCATGTTTTCCTCACTTTCATGAGGTTTTACCTTCATGTTCCTGTTTTAACAAAGACAAATTTAATAATAAATAGTATTTATGCAGGCCTTAAGTTAGAAAAATAATTCACCAACTTCTGACCAACAATTTACTGAAATTCCAGTTCATGTGTGCATTTATCATAAAAAAAATAAAAAAAAATCTTTTATGCAACTAGATGCATTATTGAACAGGAAACAAGATGGAGAGAGAGAAGACATGCAGCAAACAGCCCTGCACTGGGAATCGAACCCACGACAACTACATGGAGACCTACGGCCACAGACATAACAGTTTGTGTCTCTGTATGACTTTAAATTAGACTAAACATTCCTGTTTTTGGTCATTCGGCCACATAATTTTTTTTTTTAGTATTTTCAACACCCACAAACTCCCACACACCACCAAGTTGTCACATCCAAACCACATGATGTTGTCTTCAGACTTCAAAGCTTCCCGAATCTTCCTACAAATATATCGCTTGACATTACTGGCAAAGACGCCATTGTAATTTCATCAGACCTCAGGATATAACCCTTTGTTCCTTACTGTATTCCTTGTCTATTAACTTTTACTCTGAAGAAAGAAAGGAAGTAGTACTGGAGTAGCACTGTTTGATTTTCATCTCAAATGCAGTTAGATATTAAAGAACCAGCACTAGGAGGAGGCCCTGAAGCAGATGCTAATTTCAACAATGCTAGTGGCTAATGGTCGGTTAGCCACAATATCTGAAGAATGCAAACTGTTCAACGCGTGTTTTGTCTTTTTTCATGAAATGCCAAAAATGCTGCTCCACAAGCACCTAACCTTCACCTTTAAACAGGTCAGTCTTGTTGAGACGTTGCTGGCCAGCCTGAAGAGAAGGTCGTTTTAAAGTGGTAACATGAAGAAACTAAATGCTAACAGAAACAATAGGATCTGAGTCACAGTTGCAAAACATTCTGTCTTTGTTCCTTTTTCTTTGCTGTGTTTCACACACATGCAGACACAAGCTCC